TTGATCGTGTTCAGTGAACTCATTCTCTATTGAGCACCTACATGCTTGTCTTGATGTCACACACACCAATGACTCGAGACTAGTCACTCTCCTTGAGAAAAGACATAACACGTACTGATCTTAACGGATTGTCAATGCCCAATTGACAATCCTATGATCAGGAACATTTAGGATGTGTCAACGAAAGAATGGTCTCATGAATCTAACTTCTTTAGATCGCATTCTTCCAATCACATATTCCTTGGACTTATCGTTTAAGCATATAACATTTATATGAGACGGCTCAAAAAATAATCTTTGCCCTTTACATTTAAACTACATTAGTTTGAAATGTCCGTAAAGTATCATCATATGATTGGTTTTAGGGCACATTTCCAACACAGAGTACTTTTTGTAATTAGAGCCCATAATTTTCCAATCACTTTAGGTTGTAATTTCTTATTTATTGAATAGAGTACTTTATGTTGTTTTCCAATTTATTGATTTTAGTACTTTATTTAAACTAAGAGTATATTTATTTAATTTGGTAATTTATTTATAATAAGAGAATCTTTATTCAAAAGACATTTAAACACACCAAATAAAATTACATAAACATACCAAATAATTAAAAACTCACTAACTAAAAAAAAAACATACCAAATAAAATTAAATAAACACACCAAAAAAAATAAAAACACAAACACACTAAATGAACTTAAGTATCTTGAGCTTGTTTCAATTTCTACTGGTGCTCTATCAAATCAATTTGCGGGGCATTGTGCATATATGGCCTTTAAAGTGCAGTATATTGTTGAATGATCAAATTATTGTAACGTCCATCCCTTTCTAATGCTCATGTTGCACGGGTTCTTCAGTGGCATCATGAGCACAATATATACGTGTTCTTTAATTGACTGGCTTATATTCATCAATGGCATCATAGTCGTACTCATATTCCAAAATCATGTTGTGAAGAATGATGCACGTTATCATGATGGATTGAAGCGACTCTACATCAAACAATCTGGCGGCACCCCTGACGATCGCCCATCGAGCTTGGAGAATACCAAAACAACGCTCAACATCCTTTATGCACCCCTCTTGACAACTTCCAAAGTGTTTTTCCTTTGCACTTTTGTGGACGTGGCATTGTTTTGACAAAATGTTGACCACCTTGGGTAAATGCCATCTGCTAAGTAGTATGGCCCGTCGTACATATGTCCGTTGACGCAGTACGTGACTTTTGGTGCCTTTCCTTGCAGGACATCGTTGAACACTGGGGATTGGGTAAGGACGTTGAGGTCATTTTGAGCTCTCAGAACCCTGACAAAGGTGTGTTAAATCCATGTATCAAAAGATGCCAACGCCTTCAAAATGATACTTTTTGCTTATTTTATGTTCCTATAAGCGCCTTGCCATGCACTTGGACAATTTTTCCATGTCCAGTGCATACAATCGATGCTTCCAATTATCCCAGGAAAACCTCGCATCTCGCTGTTCTTCAGAAGCCTTTGCAAGTTCATGTCAGTACGTTTCCAGAGGTACTTTGCGGTGTAGATAGATTCCATTGCTCCGTAAAACTTCAGCAGGAACTCAAGAATGGTTGATTTCCCCATCCTCGTTATCTCATCCACGTGGTCTGCAGATGCTCCATATGTAAGCATCCGCAAGGCAGCAGTAATTTTTTCCTGAGAAAGGAGACTCATAGCACCAAAAGCATTATTCTTTTGCACAAAGTAAGATTCATGGTTGCAAACAACAATCATGATTTTGTTGAACGACGTCTAAAACGACGTCAAAAGCATTATTCATTTGGTCTGCAGATGCTCCATATGTCATTTCATTCTAAAACGACGTCTAAAGTACGTATCAAGGAATGCATTATTATGGACAAAATAATCGTCCAAGAGTTCCGTACCTCGTTATTGCCTACTTTTATCAAGGTTTCTAGAATGGCTGGGCCTGCAGATCTGACCCACAGCTTGGATGACTCGATGCGAATGTAAGGCTCTGCCCATTCTTGCTTTGTCATTTCTCCTTCTACACTCCTCATACTCTTCCCTTTCATTTTAGGTCACTTGGAGATTGAACATTCATTCTGATTAGTTAAACAATTCTTCCTCTTGCTGATCAATTTCCCACATCATCCTTAAAGAAGAAGACATTGTGAAAATGAAGCAAAAACTATGAATAATGATAGAGATTTTGGTGAAGAATGATGTAGAAACTATAAATAATGATAGAGATCTTGAGAAAATTGGTGTGAGATTTGTGAGGTTGGATGGTGGATTATATGGAGGATTCAGAAAGCATTAGGTTGTAGATAATGTCACGTGGCATACTGTCATTCATTAAAAATCTGATGGAAATCTATCCTCAAATATTGTAAACAGATTATGACACGTGGCCCGACGTAATTGGTTAATAATCTTATCGGAAATCCATCACCAATAATTGTATTTTCGGATAATGACATGTGACGCAATAAGTACAATTAAAAATCTTATCATAAATCTATCACCAATAATTGTCTTTTCGGATTTTATGACATGTCGCGCAAGGAGAACGATTAAAAATCTTATCTGAAATTACAAATAAAATTATTTTGTATTATTTTATAACTTTTCGGATAATGACACGTGGCGCAATGAGAGCGATTAAAAATCTTATCCGAAATTACAAATAAAATTATTTTGTATTATTTTATAAATAAAAAATATATTAATATTTTATTACCTATTATCAGGACTATTAAAGTGCAATGATGAAGATGTAAAAGATAATTACTATTCATTAAAAGTAATTACTTTTCAATAGATGGATAACATAATGTATTACCGGAGATTCTCGCGTTGGAAGTGCTCTAATATAGGGTACCAAACGAAGCCTCATTGTAAGAGTATTATTTGTACTTGAAAAAAGTCGTTGTAAAGTGCGATTAGACAAATGACTAAAAGAGGACAGTTTGAATTAGGCAAATGAAAAGTCAAATTCGTTTTCACAAGCTACATGGACAATTGACTACTTGTATATGTGCAGGCAAAACTCGACCTCACACATCTGTTTATAATAAAATGAGTTTGTTTAGAAGTGTTTTTAAAATAACTAAAAACGTTTATGGTGAAATTAATTTTGAATTCCAAAAATGTCTTAAGTGTTTTTTTAGAAGAACCACCGAATATGTGCCTTTTGTAAAAAATATTTCAAGTATTTTTTTCAAGATCTTACTAAGGATTGATTTTAAAAACATTTTTATCAAAATAGTTTTCAATCATTTTAATAACATGTCGAAATGAGCATGTATTCTATATGATGAGGGGACAAAGTAAAAAATAAAAGATAAAAATAAATATCAAAGGTGAAAAAAAAATATAAATTTTTTTTTGCCTATTCACCTATTTCATTGGAGTGATACATTTTTTCATTAGATAATTGTTTTTTGAAAATAAGGTGGATCACAAATTCACAAACAGACATTTTATAAGGCCATCATTTATGCCTGATGAGAAGAAGACACTTGGGGTAGACCAAGTTTCATTGATTCCAAATTCATAGCGACAATCCAATACAAGACAAGATTTGAATCTTGCTCGTTTGTTTTATGCATTTAAGTTTGCATTTTTATTACAGTTTGAAATGCCGTGAATTAATCGAGATGGTGGTAAACCGTTTAGCGTTTAAACGGAGCTTAGACAGTGTTAGGCGAAATTTTTTAGAACAACGACCGTTAAACCAAATGATCACGTTGAACAGCAAACCAGATTTTGATACGAAACTTGCCACGTAATTTATCCAAATACCATTTCAACCATAACTACTTAGCAAAAAAACTTAAAAACTCTTTTACCATCTAAAAACGCTTATAAACAGTAGTACTTTCTACAATGACAGTTTTAACTTTCAAACCAATTAAGTGTTCTTTTTGAGTGGGAAAGCAGGCCAGAATTAAGACAAAGACAGATGCTCAGTTGCTTATCAATTTAACAATAGAATAATAACAATAATAAAACCAACAGGACAGAAAAAAATAATGTGGATATAACCTGGTCAACGTGGCCTTATCTCAATCAAACACCACCCTAAAAATCCCTAGTCCACATAATCCCAACTCACTCTTACCCAAATCTGCTCTTATTCGAGAAATTTTTCAGAGTACTGAGAATACACAATAAAATACTAAGTGTTATAGATTAAATTTTTTATATTTTTTTAAAGTTTTAAACCAATTATAATGTTTCAGATAATGTCATCGAGACATTAAAAAAAACCCCGTACTCCTCATTCTTCTTGGGCTTTCTTTAAATATTTATTTTTTTCATTTTGACCCACATTTTTTATTGACTTGTAAATTCTTGGTCTTCATTCCAACTCACATGGATTCACTAATATAATTATTAAGAATTAAGATTGGGGTTAGTGGATAACTTAAACATGAGTTTTGTCTTATGGTATTTGTAAGACGGTTGTCGTTTCAACCAGCAAACGGTAATCTAAGACCAAGACGGCTTTCACACTCTGTATCCAACTCATTCATGTTCCTCCAAACGTTTGAAACATAACTACTCACAATGCTCTAGTCACATTCATAAATATTTAATAATTACTGTCGCTTAGTACTACGGTTTAGTTATTCATCACTACTTGTTATTAACCCTTCTATAAATATATTGTTGCATTCATAAGAAAATAATAACTAATTATTTGTGGCGTTCGACTTTTAATTATGATTTGCACGATTGTAGCGATATAACTTATTATGCAATCGGAAAAAGTTTTATTTTCAAATACATTTTCAATTGTATATATTAATATATTGTGTATCGAATGCACTAAAAACTCTCTCGTCCACGTGGCTACATTGTTATTGAATTTTTTTTTATTAAGTGCTTCCCGGGAGATAAAATCCGTGGAAATTATATCAGCCAATGAAGGTATGACACGCGTACCGGACTAGTGACAACTCGTCTCCCTACATATATGGAGCTGGACAGAACGGGAGGCGATCGCGAGCTCGGATAGAACGGGCCACAGAGGATCCGGAAACAAGAAGCTAAAAAACAGCTAGTTAAAAAAGCGCTTCGAGCGAAAAGCCGCTGAGACGACGTCGTGGAATGTGGTCCGCGAGTGAAATGAAGGGGCACAGAAACGAACACGAAGCGTGCAGAAGCAGCACTCGCACTCACACCCGTTTCGCTTCTCTATAAGCGCTTCCCCCGAGCTTTCAAAGCCTCGTTCTTCACCCTCTCTCTCTCTCTCAAAGCTTCGAACTTTCAAGTTTTTTTCTGCGGATTGGATTGGATTCGGCTTCCTCCATGTCCAGCGAGGCTGAGCCGTCTTCGCCCGGGTTCGGCACCGACGTGCCTGCCGACGTCGAGGACTACATTTCGGTGAGTGTGCGTTTTTTTCTGTTAAATTTTTTTTGGGCCTGTTTGGCTGCTGAGAAAATGTGGGAAAATGAGGAGAATTTGTAGCTGGATTATGTTTATTTTTCCGATGGAAACATGATTTTCTTAGTTATTTGATCGATGGAAGAAGAACATGTGGGAGAAAAAATATATTTTTTAATTTAAACTCGATATTTTTATTAATATTTTAAAGCTGTAGGAGTGGAGGAAACAAGAAAATTTTAGCTGCAATATGCTTGGTAGATGTAATTTGGGAACTTAGTTCGGTGGAGAGATTGAAGTTTTTTGTGTTTTCCCGGCATTTTCTTTGCCAGCGAATTCGAAGAACGGAGTTTTCATCATCGATTGGATTTGAGTTTTGTTTGTAGTGTTTGGCTGCTACGAAGATTTCATTGAAAAACAAATTGATTATTTTAGTTTGCTTGTTTTCTTTCCTTTGTATCCAGTTAAATAAAGTATCATGTCAAATTCACATTCTTTTTTTCATTGGTTTATATAGCTGCTGCAATTGATTGGTTGTTTATTTTTTCGAACTTTGGAGTGTAAGTACTTAGAGCTAACGGAAGACATGGCGCAAAATCGAGCGCAGTAGCGTTCTAGGATTCATCCAGCCGACCCCACTTAGTGGGATAAGGCTTGGTGGTGGTGGTTGTTGTTGTTGTGGAGTGTTAGAACTTGAACTGGAGCCCATGTATGTAACTTTATCTTGGCTTATGGCTGCTTCAGTCAGTACAATATTTGTAACAAAATAAAGAATAGAAGGCAATGTATTTTAAGCTCGAACGACATGATAAGGTTTTTTGATTTAGTTTAGTGGAGTTCCTAATTTTTGTAAGTCAAGTCAAGAGTATATGAATTTGAGTTTCGTTGTCATTGTTCTTACTAGGTTTTTTTACTTCTATAAATTTTCCGAAACCAATGCAAGAGTTCAGTTTTTTTAAGTGAGAAAACATTTTTCCGTTGACACTTTTGGACAGTGCTTATGAATCTGATGGTATGGCGATGTCTGAAATGCAGGCTAAAGAAGGAGAGCCATCATTGCCCTGGGACATATTTGGTCACATTTTTGATCTTGTGAAGAATGGAAATCAAGCATTTCGAGAGAATCGCTTTGAGGAGGTGATATGTTAGCATCAATCACTTTCATTCTGAGTGTGTACATTATCTTTTTATGCGAGCTTCTAAATTTTAAAATCCACACGATATGGTTTATTAGTGTTCTTAATTTGTTGCAACTATCCTAGGAAACCTTGTCTTTGGAGTTACCTACTAAGTGTTACCCAATTATATGAGTTGTGAGGACTGATATGAGGGATGACTATAATCTTCTTCCATTGTATTTGTGGATTTCCTTAGATGAAGAAGGCTTTTAGTAACCTTAGTTTTATTGGAAATGGTGATTGTGATCAGGTAGATGTCGTTGATATGAGATTCTTAGAGGAGTATACGGGAAGCAGAGAGTCAGTGTTTTTTGAGTATATTCCTTAAGAGGTAATTATATGCTGTACTAGTTCTGACAAAAGAAGACATGGTATTTCAACCAATGTCGTTCTTCCATCAACTGAAGGGACATGTAACTTTTGGTTTTTAAACCTTTTTGTTTTGGTGGTTTCCTTCTTGCTGTGTTTTGTGTTATGTTAAGGGGCACCAAGGGTTATCAGTTTGGGATTATTGTAGTACTGTTATTGTGGTTGTCGTTATTATCATTGGAGTATTCCTTGATACTGTGTTGCCACTATTGGGCATGCTTATTTCTTTAGGTAATAAAAAGTGTTACAATCAAATGATACATTTATCTTGGTGACTGGAATGATTATTAGCACTTTATCATTCTGCTTAATATTTTTTGTAATTTCATGAGTTTTAAGTTTTAGACAGAAATTTTTTCGGTTAGCTTCTCTGAATTCTTGTTTGTCCATTGCTGATTAATCAATTTCATTTCATCAGGCAATTAATTGTTACTCCAGAGCCAATAACATTAGACCGTGTGATCCAATTATTCTTGCCAACCGAAGTGCTGCTTATATCAGGTTAATTTTATATATTATATTCGTTTACCTTAATTTTTATGCCATTCACTGTCTAGGCTATGCTTTTCTCAAGCATCTTCGAGATGAATTTTGACCTAATTTTGTACACCATTTGAACAAGCAGGATCAGTAAATTCCTTAAACGCATACCGGCATCGGCTTCTGAATATAGAGCACGGACTGGATTGGATCCCACAACACATGCTGAAGTATGTCTTATTGGCTCACTGTTTATGCATTAGGAAACAAAAGTCTTTTTCAACCAGATAGCCGTTGGTTACATTCTAAAGAGCTTAAAAAATCTTCAGCTTGCGTTAAAGGATGCGGAGAAGTTAGTCAACCTTCGAAGTAATTCAGAAAAGGCGTACATATTAAAGGCCGAAACTCTCATTTTGGTGAGAATGTTTTGCTATTTATTTTACCTTTATACTTTTCTTAAGAGGAAGAGGCACCCAGGGGTTAATTACTTGTAAATTGGTCACGCTGTGTGGCTCCTTTTCATAATTTTTGTCATATTGAATATGATGAGGTTACAACTATTTATTATTATTTTTCTCTGCAATGGTTGGTTTCACCCTTGCACCTTTTTACTTGTGATTGATTAGTTTGCATTCATTTGCATTGGCAGTTGGAGAAATATGAAATGGCCCGTGATGTTATTCTTTCGGGTCTTCAGGTTAATCCTTTTAGGTAATATATAATGCTATTCATTTTTCTGATTACTAAATAAATGGATATAATTATATGTTATTCAAACCCACTGGCTGTACGAGATTCTGTTTGTGAATTTCTAATTTGTTTTTATGTGGTATTCTGTAGCAATTATCTCCAGGAATCTTTCCAGAATTTAGAGAGAATACAAGCTAATTTCACAGGGAGGAGAAGCCATAGAAAACCAGAACGCAGTGATGACTTTGATTGCACACTATGCTTAAAATTACTATATGAACCTGTCACAACTCCTTGTGGGCATTCCTTTTGTCGTTCATGCCTATTTCAGTCAATGGATCGAGGTGAGTGTTTTGCTGGTATTATTCTATTTAATTGAGCTTTTATATATCTTCCTTTCCCTTCTTCTTTCACCGACCTGTGTTAATTATCTTAGGTAACAAATGTCCTTTGTGCCGAACAGTTCTTTTCATTAGTCCTAGAACATGTGCAATCAGGTAAATTGCTAATTTATAACAATTAAATGAGATGGTTGTATCAATTGGCATCGTAATTATTGCTTTATGGTTTTTTCTACCCGTGCTTTTTTTTTTTTGGGTGAATGGGTGCACATCTGGGCAACGTTTCAGCATTTCACCTTGTATATACTGAGTCTGGCGTGTTTCAAATATAGGGCATAACAATTAGTAAATTTATGGTTCCATATTGTCTAATAAACAAAAAAATAATAATAATAATTCAAGTACTATATTAATAATTTGTCAATCTGTATTTCCTGGGAAATCATTTTGTTGGAGCAGTTCAAATTGTTATCATCATCATGCAATGTTTTTATTTCATTTTTTCCAGTGTTACACTCAATGACATTATACAAAAGAACTTCCCAGAAGAATTTTCCGAAAGGAAGTTAGAGAATGACCAAATGACAAACTTTGGTGTTGATTTGATGCCACTCTTTGTAATGGATGTTGTCCTCCCATTCCAGAAGATTTCACTGCACATTTTTGAACCGCGGTATAGACTTATGGTAAGTTTGTTAGCAATTTATAGTTTTTACATATGACATTCATGAAATATTGAGACATAGAGGTACATTTTATGCAAAAGAACTATGTTGACAAACTTATCTGGCAAAGTTTTTGTTTATCGACTTGGTACATTTGTATGGTCCATGTGTTTGTATAGAATAATTATAGATTTTGTTTTTAACTTGTTACTTAAACAACAGGTAAGGAGGATAATGGAAGGCAATCGTCGGATGGGAATGGTAGATTATTGTCACTGGTCCTTTTATTTCCTTTTCAACATTTTGTACCTATATGAAGTTTGATACAAAGTATAACTTTCACTGACTCTGGCTTTCTTGTATTTTATAGGTTATCATTGATTCTTCAACAGGTTCAATAGCTGATTTTGCTTGCGAAGTGGAAATTACCGAGTATGTCTTTCGTCATCCTTCTTTCCTTCTTAAGTTCATATTATGCAGAATGTCATTTGTAAACTCCGCTGTGAATGTTGCCTCTTAATATTTCTATTTTTTGGATTTTTTTTCTTATAACTATTTTACTAATTACTATCTATGTAGGTGTGAGCCACTTCCAGATGGGCGTTTTTATTTAGAGGTTAGATACTAGTGCCGTTTTACTTAAACCCGTTTTACTTAAACTGAATGCCTAAAACCGACCTACTATCCCTTATGTTTCATGGCATACTGTATTTTGTGATTTTCTTTTTCATAGAGCCAGTCATATATTTATAACAATAAAATTTCAAGCAGATTGAAAGTCGGCGAAGGTTTCGCATAATTCGATCTTGGGACCAAGATGGGTGAGCTGTCTAGCTATTCATTCAGTCTCCAGTAACTGTTCTTGGCATCTTGCTAAATATATTTGTCATTTTAATGTGCTTCTCAGGTACCGTGTTGCAGAGATTGAATGGGTACAAGACATTCTACCAGAAGGGTCTGAAGCGAGAGAAGAAGTAAGTTTATGATAATTTGGTTTCTCGAAATGGGAAGAAGGACGATAATGTCGTTCCTTGTTTTCCTGTCGTTTTGGTTGTGCATAGTGGTTTAACTTCTATATCTGTACAGTTGCAGGAATTGGCAAGAAATGCAGCAGAATATGCTCGATCATGGATAGCGCGGGGTAAAAGAGCAGCACGTCAAGGTAAAATGCTCAGGGATGACGTCTAGTCTTTTTCAAGAGTATAAATGTGAAGTCAGTGCACATGAGAATGGTTTCTGCCCCTATTTTTATGTTGGTATCCCATGATGTATGACCGTCTCTTTGCAGATCGAAGACGACTGGAGAAACTTCTCGGTGTGGAAGCGATGATGCCTTCACTACAAGATCCTGAACGCTTCAGCTTTTGGGTAACCTTATAATTGTCTGTTCATTTGCAGTTAGTATCGAGGGCGCAATCATGTTATTAACGGCATTAATGTATGATTGGATGCAGCTTGCCTCCTTATCAAACCGGCGTCCTCATGAAAGGTTGGATCTTCTACGCTTGCGAGATACAAAAGAGGTATTTTACTCGTCTCCCGTCTTTGCATTAGCGATTTCATGGACACGTAAGGCCTACCGATGAATTATACTTCTCAACAAACACATGCTATTTGAGATCTCATTTAGAATAAGTTCATACGTCAACGCCATGGCGTATGAACTACAGAGCTGCGAAGCTCTGTTGTTTGTTTTGTCAGGCGGTTTCTTATCCATTTTTCGGTCTGCAGAGAATACACCGGGGACGGATGTATCTTCAAGCGGAAGGGCAGGGTTGTCAAGTGCAATGAGGGAAAGCTGTAATTGGGTTTAGTTCATATGAATGCACAGTTTAGAAGTTATATTGTTATACAAGCAAAATTACATTCTCTGAAAATTCAGCATTCTTTGATCCACAAAATGTTGGTGGATCCCTTGTTTTTTGTTGTAACATTGGGTTTAACCCGTTTAATAATTACCATAAATAAAATCAAGTTTCTAAAATTTTGAATTTATAAATTTTTCTTTAATAGTCTGGATTACTTAGCAGTACGGAAATTAATAAACAACAAAGAATTGACGACATACTACATTTCTTAACGTGCCAATCTAATAGATAAAAAATCGAGAGAAATGCTAAGGAGACTCAAAAGCAGGACTCATATGAACTCTGTGCTATCTAACAATTTAATGTCAATTATTGTGTCAACATTATAAAATATTGTATCAAAAACATAAGATGACAGAGAGTTCATAAAACTTCTCACTTTTGAGAGAATCTCTTAACATTTTTCGAAAAGCAGATCAACCTTTTTTTATTGTACAAAGTTGAAGAGTTGACTCTTAATTAGACCCCAAGCAAAGTTGGCCTGCATTTTAATATGTTTATTTGCTAACTTCTTCGAAGCCGTCCATCTCTGTCGTCAAACTATTGGTTTGTTCCTCTTAAACTTGATTTACTATTCATATAATTATCGACATGGGAAACACTCATGCATGGTTTGGTTAACTTGCAATCTCTCGTGTGCATGCACCAATTCTCGAGTAACTAAAATGCTTTCTGACAATAAAAAACATTTCGACAAAAGAAAGTTAGAAGTGATTTTTTGATATTGGAAGCACTTTCTAGATAAGCGTATGTCAAAATGCTTCTTCCTAAGTACTTTCATGTGCTTTTTATGAAGTACTTGGGCTTTTAATAAAAATTTCAATGTGTTTTTTAATGAAAGAATTTATAACGTAAGTGTTTATGAGCAGAATTGCTTCTTACCTAAACAATTTTAAACGAGTCTTAAGTAGTTATTTTTTATTATAAATATATCACAATTTGACATGCATGCGTAACTAGTTATTTTTGTATAAAAAGTTGCGCTTTGCATGCAAGGGAGCCGAACAATGTTCGATATGTTTGAAACGATGTCGCAGCGTCATAATTTTGTGTTAAGGACAAGATTTGGATTAGTAAGGTAGTTAGTGATAAGATAACAAATGCGTATATATTTATAGAGGTTTGAGGTCTCAACGCATAGCTCGCTGTCCCTCTCTATTTCTTTTACCAAGTCTCTCTCATCCATCACACAAACTCAAACAAACAAAAACAGCAACAGAAACAAACATCTCTGCACGTTTTCTTCCTCCAACAACTTCATCGTCTCTTCTGATCTAATCTTTATCTTCTCTTTTCTGTTTCCTCCAACTGTTTAACCATTTTTATACATTCGAAAACCGCCCAAAAACCACGTATACCTCTTCCCTCACCACCTCCATTGTTCTTGAGTTAACGTTGCTGCATTTTGATATTGTGTCCGATCCAATCCAATCCCAATAGTATGATCAACACCTCCATTGCCACCACCGCCACCATTGCGCCATCGTTGCTGCGTCCTCCTTAAGTAAACCCTGCCAGAAAACATCGACGATGGGTAGAATGATCAATGGGGCATCATCACCAATGCCTCGGCCTTTCTTCTCCCTATCCCTTCCTTTCCTTCTCCTATTCACGTCAGCCTTCAACCTCGCCAACTTTGTTTCGGCCAAAGGTCACGAATCTTCTCCTTCTTCTCCTCCTCCTCCTAGTGCCACATTCTCTCCCTCCGATAGCTTTCTCATCGATTGTGGCTCGTCCCAACATACCAAGCTTGACGATGGCAGGACATTCAAATCAGACCGCGACACGTCTAGTCTTTTGTCCACAACCGAAGATGTCCAAACTTCAGTTGATTCAATCACTGCCAATGCCTCTTCCTCTATACCACCTTCCTCTCAACCTTTGTATCGCACTGCGCGAATCTTCTCCGAAAAATCCACCTACTCTTTCTACATTAACAAACCGGGGCAGCATTGGATCAGGCTTTACTTCTATCCACTTCCACACAACACGTATAATCTGACGAGCGCGGTTTTTTCAGTGAACACGGATAAGTATGTTCTCTTGCATGACTTCTCCGTGACAGACAATACGACGGTGGTGTTTAAAGAGTACATCCTCAATGTCACGGAAAACAGATTTTCACTACATTTCAATCCCAAGAAGAAATCGTGTGCGTTTGTTAATGCTATTGAGGTTGTCTCTGCCCCTGACACTATGTTCAACAATTCAGCTACATCCGTTTCTCCGGTTGGAGACTTCAACAGCTTGTCTAATTACGCTTTTCAAGTTCGTTACCGCATAAACATTGGAGGGCAGTTGATATCTCCAGGAAACGACACATTGTCAAGGACTTGGGAGCCTGATAGTGCATACAACGCATTTCCACAAGGAGCTAAAAACGTGTCTGTGGCTACGAAAGCCATCAAGTATCCACATAGTGGCGCTTCTCCATTGATTGCCCCGAATTGGATTTACTCAACTGCTCAAGACATGCGAGACTCTGCTACGAGCCAGCAGAATTTCAACCTCACTTGGAAGTTGAATGTCGAAGAAGAATTTTCGTATTTGATTAGGTTGCATTTTGCTGACATTGTGAGTAAAACCCTTAACGATTTGTACTTCAATGTCTACATCAACGGGATAATGGCCGCGTCCAACCTTGACCTTTCCTCACTCACCGGCGCGCTCTCCACTGCGTATTACAAAGATTTCGTGCTCAATGCCACCGCGGTCTCAAGCGAAAATAGTACCATCAGAATTCAGGTTGGTCCCGGAACTACTGGGTCAGGCTCTCAGGATGCACTTCTTAATGGATTGGAGATACTAAAGATGACCAACGTTGCGGATAGCCTGGATGGTCTTTTCGGGGTTGATGGATCATACAAGGGGCCGGGAAGAGTAAGCACCGTGAAGAAGATAGTTGCCGGCGTTGGTTTGGCAATGGGAGTGACAGCAATGTTGTTAGTTGTTGTAGTTGTTGTCCGGTGGCGGAAAAGACCTCAAGGCTGGGAAAAGCGAAACAGCTTTTCGTCGTGGTTGCTTCCTCTCCATTCGAGCCAATCTAGCTTCTTCTCCAGCAAGAACAGCTCTCGCAAATCAAGCGTCTTTGGGTCGCGCAAGAGCAAAAGCGGTTACTCAGGCTACTTCTCATCCTATGGAAGGTCCTTCACCTTCGCTCAGTTACAAAATGCAACACAAAACTTTGATGACAAGGTAGTGATCGGCGTTGGTGGGTTTGGAAAAGTGTACCTTGGGGAGTTGGAAGAAGGCACAAAGCTCGCGATCAAACGAGGGAATCCAAATTCGGAGCAGGGCATTAATGAATTCAGAACGGAAATGGACATGCTCTCCAAGCTGCGCCATCGCCACCTTGTTTCGCTGATCGGATTTTGTGATGAGAATAATGAAATGATCCTTGTGTATGAGTACATGGCGAATGGACCGCTTCGCGACCACCTCTATGGCTCGAACCAGCCTCCATTGTCATGGAAACAAAGGCTTGAGGTTTGCATTGGCGCTGCTCGCGGTTTACATTACCTGCACACTGGTGCCGCACAAGGTATCATACATCGCGATGTAAAGACAACAAACATTCTCCTCGATGAGAATTTCGTAGCAAAAGTTTCAGATTTTGGCTTGTCAAAAGCTGCGCCTACGCTGGAACAAACCCATGTCAGCACAGCCGTCAAGGGTAGTTTTGGTTATCTTGATCCGGAGTACTTCAGAAGGCAACAGCTTACTGAGAAATCTGATGTCTATTCTTTTGGTGTGGTGCTTTTCGAGGCGCTATGCGCAAGGCCTGTCATAAACCCGGCGCTGCCAAGAGAGCAGGTGAGCTTGGCTGAGTGGGCAATGCAGTGGCACAGGAAAGGCATGATTGAGAAGATAATCGACCCTCATATCGCTAGCTCAGTCGACTCTGGTTCGCTGAAGAAGTTTGTAGAAGCTGCAGAGAAATGCCTCGCAGAATACGGCGTAGATAGGCCTAACATGGGAGATGTGTTGTGGAACTTGGAGTATGCTTTGCAGCTTCAAGAGGCCGCCTCGCTGATTGATCTGCCGGAAGATAAAACTTCCAGTCTCATTTCTTTGGACAAAGCAAGCGAAAACGGATCAAAGGAAGGCTCTGCTGTTGGCGTGAGTGATGATTCTGGAGTGACAATTGGTTCTCCTGCGTTTGCTAAAAAAGGGAACATTCAGGGGAGGTGAAATTCGCCCTAGTTCCGATTTTCTGCTCGCACTTTTGGTCCCTTCGGGTTCGAGTTCCATGCTCCGCTTTGGCAGATGACGAGCATCGACACGAATCAAAGTAAAAATGGCATCGATTGAACTGTTAGTTCACAGTTTGGGAAAAAGCTTCTTAGATAGGTCTCTCTTTCTTGGTTTTTAATAACTCAGTAAGATGTTAGTGATTGCCTGCTAAGTTGTCCAAACAGTTTGTTTTGAACCTTATCAATCTATAGAATTATCCATATGTTTTGAGCTTTAATATCATATCTGTGACTGCGAACTGTCAAGGACTCGAACACAAACACCGTGATCTTTCAGGGAAAATTAAACTGCATCGAACGAAAAATTAAACGAGGATGAACTCATGAGCTTAAACTTTTAATTAATACTAAAATTTGTCAATACATATGTACATAAAGAGCCCCAAACCAAATATACACAAGATATTTCAACTGGGTTCATAAACCATGAACTAAAATGCAAGCAAAACTAATAAGACTCTGTGACTTCCATGCATAAAGAATGTTGTGCATCAAAGTTTCTCCGCTATATGTTCGAAACTCCGAAGCTTGGGTACCAAGCTTGTTTTCTCCACTCAAAATCGTTTGCAGAGCTCAAACTTGTACCAGCATTTCCGTTATACGTGCTTCAACTTGAGATGTGTCCTCTCTCCTCAGCGATGACTGGAGCATCGGAGTGCCACTGCAAGTCTACCGCAATGTTTCGCAGCTCTGTTATTGCGTGGTCAATCCTAATTTCACGAATTCAGTAGCAACCTAGCAGCTAAAGATGTTATATTTCTCTATTCAATTAACCAGTTTTGAAGCGAGAGCTTTATGCCGAGCTACCAGAACTTCATTCATCTGCGCGATTTGGTGCAGCAGTTTATTGATTTTCTGCAGATTCATCAGCTCAAACAATTCAGTACACAGACAAAGGCTACATTGACAGTAACAAACAAGATATCTGCTTCAAGCAATCATACAAACCAACAAGAAATAAAAGGAAGCTTGACAATCGGCTCCGGCATAAAGTTTTCAGTACCCACATTGACATTCCATCGAACACATAAAAGGCAATCAAATTTGGGGCAATGCATCAAACACTTGGTAGGCAACATCTAAATTCAAGCCATTGGATGATAAACTAACCTCGTCTTTCTCTTTGCGGATCAATTTCAAATCATTCCGATACCGCCTTTGCCAAGCCCGCAAGAACAAGGACCATAACACGAACACCACAGCCGCCATTCCCGCGCCAGAGGCAAAGCTCCAAACTTTATCGAACCCAGATGAGGAAGCCATAGCAGAAACCTTGGAACGCAGTAACCCAAAGCCAATTCCTACCCAGGTGGTGAATTCGCCAGGTTTTCGGACCAGGGTATCGAACGGAAGCGGCGAAAGCGGGCCCGATTCATCGGAATCGGACGGTGAGAATGACGACAGCGACGGCGACGAAGAAGATGACAGCGACGGAGACGATAACGGGTCCGGATGCTTTCGATCGGGTTGTGATGGATGGTGGAGATTTTCGTGATTGATTGGAGGGAAGACGGAGGAGTCAGTATTGGGTGAGGGAGTGTCTCTGATGGCGACCATGGACCATTCTTTGTGTTGGGTTTCGGGGATGCGTTTGAATTCGAATCCCGCTGAATCGAAGTGCTCGCCCGCCATTTTAAAGCCGGCTAAAAAGCTCGAGAAAACTCCATGGAAGCCCTCTGGATCGCCGCCGTGTCTTCCAATGGTGGTTGTATCAGCTAATCCAAGGAAAACCAACCATAACGGCCACAATAACTAACTTTTAACCAAAAGTACTCATAAATTTATTTAAAGAAAACCAATGGAAAAAATTTGAAAATTTTAAGATTTAATAAAAAAATAAATTAAAGGATAAAATAAATAGTATCAGAATTAATATACAAATATAATTTTTTGTTAAAATAAATAATACCATAAATTTTTCATTAAAATTTATTTTATTTAATAACTACGACAAAATTCAAACAAAAATCAGCCCAATAAAGCTGAAAATCAGCTCAATAAAGCTGGCCCAACGTTGAAAATTAAGTGAAAATAAAGGCCTTGAAATGTTAAAAAAAATTTGTGTGCTCGAAGTATTTTGTATTATTATTTTGTTGTTTATTTGATCGAGGGCCGACAAGGCCGTGTAGCAACTCCGATAATTTGGTCAAATTCTTCCTGGACGATGGCGGGAAAATCATCCCCCTAGCCGTGACATCTTGTGGAAGCAGTGACGAAGTCAGCATGAGGTCATTGGTTGTCCTAGATTCCAATAACTACATAAACTTAATGTATATTTGTCTGTATGTTGTATTTGATCCCGATAAATAGTTAAGATAAACTAAATTACAACCTCCGGCTCTTATTTCTTCTATCATATTTGCCTTCATTTTCTCTCTTCTTATATGAAATACTTTAGTTGAAAAACCTTCCCAGTCTTTAGTATTACTCTAGTGTCTTGCATACACTCTCGACAAGCCTCTACAAATAATACTAGTTGTCGACATATGTTGACATAAACTGCAGCATGTGTTGACAGAAATTGGCAGGTACCTACTAAGTGCTCGACGAAATGGCCCAATGAAGCTTTTTTGTTGATATTATGACTCTATTATTTAAAAATTCTGGCTACACCACTACGTGGAAGCAGCCGTTTTTGACAAGGAGCATCAAACTCTCGCTGTGGTCGACTGAGCTTACCTCTTCGTTGTTTGTCTTAGAATTTTCGTAACAGAGTATGCAGGGTGTCAATGTCTGTGTTAAGTTTATGTGGATTATTAATTAGTTTTAAATTACCGCATAACTATGGTTTCTTGAGTGCATGGAAACATATTTACAGGGCGCAATCCGCCTGCGATTGGTACGATTTCGGAGTCCGCAAGCTTTGTTGTTGTTACCCAACTTTCACTGCCGTTCAATTTGAAAACAAGTTGTAGTTTCAGAAAATGATGAACGTAACTAAACTACTTGGTATTTATTCGTTGATCATCTTAAAGCCCGAGTATAAATTTCTCTACACCTTAAACATTCAGAAACAAAGTACAAGCAATGCCAGATAATCCATGGTTGATGCTCGGGTAGAAATCTCAGAAACTTGAACAAGAGAATCTAAACAATCACGTAGAGCTCGTCAAATCCTTTCCGAAATACTTCGGAGCAGAGCATCGCGTCCTAGAGTTGAGGACATCCGAACGCGATGCTCAATGCAACAACTAAAACTTGAAGTGGCACAACATATCACAACAATACCTCAAGAATTCAACAACCGTTGCTTCCAAGTTAACTTCCAAGTCCTGACTACTAACCTAAGTTGACAAACCCTAGACCGAAAATATGGTTATGATGGATGCACTTACAAGGAGAACATATGCCGGAACTTCTATTGTCCTGTACACCGGATCAAACTAGAAAATCTCGAACAAATAGTATTCAAAATAACATGGGACAACAAGAACATGGGAAAGTATACCGCGGTCGATAAATAAAATTCCTTCTTTAAGGCTTACTAGAACACAGTACAAAATGATATCAAGATTGTAAAAGAATTCTATTCTACCGTTCTTGAAAGTTGGAAACAAGTAGAAAGACAACTGAACAGACGAAATACAAAGTAACCGTGAACTGTAATCGAGTTTAAAATCTTCTTCTGTAACTGATGTATTACCATCATTACCTACCAAATAATCAAACATTCGAGGTGACGAGGATGTTTTACTCACTAGCTGTGTGATCCGCTGCCCCCTTGCACTGGATGCCGCCGAATATCAAACTGATCAACAAACTCTAGAGGGGCTGCCGTCTCGTTCCTGATCCTCTTGATCTTAGGGCTCAATAGCCCCCTGTGCCTAAACCCATACAGCTTAAGCACCTGGTTATCCGCAAAATTAAACGCCCTCTCCATGCTGCTCAAGCACCTCTCCACCGGGTAATCCCCGTAACTTCCACAGGGCTTGCAACCCACGAAATGGGTCACAAACGGCCACCTCTCATCACCCAAACCCGGATGATACTTCTCGATCATCTCCTCATACCGATCCACCAACCCAGCCCAGTAACCGTGCAAATAGTACGAGTTCTCAACATACACCTTCTCCATCCACTGATCCTTCTGCGAAAGCAACAAGTATATCAACGCAGACTGATCATCCGCCTCAAATGCCGGTCTCCCCTTCAAATTAGCCGTCAAAATCTTCCCGGCCTCCTCCCTTATCGGACCCTTAGGACCCATCGGCGCCCAAACATCAAGCAAATCCAAAGACCACTGGCAATTCCTAAACAGAAAGCTCCCGGTGTTCAGCGCAATCCACGACTTCTGATCAAACAACAAATCGGGGTACCCATGAATCACAAGATTATGACTATCATACTTGGACAGCGGAATCTCAAACACCATGTCAGTAAACAATGCATCACTATCCATCCACCAAATCCACTCAACCTCCGGATGCGAAAGCATCAGCCTCCGAATCAACGGCAATTTCGCCCAATACCCGGCGAGTTCCTTATCCAAATGAGCTAAATTATACACAATTTCAATCCCATGAAGTCTACAGTAATCAATTTTGTTCTTAATTACCTTCAACAAGTAATGATCCCCAATTGGGTTATCACAAGGCTTAGGGGGAGACCCAGTAACGAGAAGAACACGGGGCTTACCGTTGACCAAGCTCGGAAAATCCGGATTCAACCGGAGCCAATCCTTCCGCTCCTTGTCCCAATTCGCGATCTTGGGTCCGAGCGTGTACGTGATGTTGGGGTTCATCTCGGTCTCGGTCAGCTCGTCCGGATCGTTGGGGTCGGAATCGGACCGGATCTCCGCGAGGATCCGGTTCGTCTCTTCGATCAAATTCTGGTTGACGGCATCGGCCTCGGAGCTTCCGAGGTTGCCGACGCCGATCGTGCCGCGGAGGACGAGGATGGTGACGAAGCCGCAGAGGATGGTGATTTTGATGTTGTTGAATGTCTTCTGGATCTGCCGTCCACGTGGCAGGGCTCCGTAAGCGCGGCCCGCACGGCCGTTGGCCGAGGTTCCAGTGGTGGTCGTCGGAAGCCCGCCCGAGCTGGTACGCTTCTGAGCTGCGAAAGGACTGTCTTGCCCCATATCCAATCGCCTTGTGGGTCGAGTGTGTTTGGTGTTTTATGGGGGTGTATTTGTAAATTTGTATGGTGAGGTTATAGGGGAGTGAGGAGGTGTAAAACCCTAGAGGGAGCGAACGAGTGGGGCATGGCGGAGGAAGGCTTGGAGATTATTGGAAAAATGGGGGAAATGTCAGGACATGTGTCCAACATCGATTGTCGTGGGGCTTGATGTCTTTTAAATTTTATTGTCTGATCTGGATTTCGAAATTTCTTTTCAAATATTTTTTTATTTTTTTTATTTTTAACTAACGATATTTTCTATATTAAGTTTTTTTTTTATAATGCATACACAATTTTGAAATCTGTGTCCTTCGAACACGGCATACCAAGTAATCTTAGCTGTTTAATTTTAATCCTACGGTCTGAAATTTTTCTTTCCCTTCCTCTTCGCCTCGTGTAGATTCCTTTCATCTTCCTCTTGGAAATCGAAGATGGAGAAGAACTTTTGGGTCTCGCACACTGGAAATTAATTGACACCTTTGATGCCGACTCAGAGGAAAACTATCACCATTGCTCTGACTTCGATCAAATGGATAAAGACGGATTTGCTGGTTGCCAATTTGAGCCATGCTCACCATTAACGCCAGTGATAACGAGAGGAAGACAGGCCTGCTGGTCGTAAGGGCGAGCATTTTAAGGTCCGCGCTGATTGAGAGCAAACAGGATCCTTACCCGAGGGTCCCGAAAATTAAGAGTAAATTGGTCCAGAGAATCTTTATTCCTTACCCTCTCCAAACTTTTAGAGTAGGATTCTCTTCCCTCCTATTCTCATCTCATTCCTTCCCCTCCTCTCACATTTTATTTTTATCTTATTGTTTCTATAAAACAAAATTAATATAAAATATTGACGTAATTTAACCGTAACTGTTCAAGTATAAGATAAGAGAATAAGAGAGAAATTAGGAGGAGAGAATCCTCCTCCCAAACTTTTTACTTAATTTTTTTAAGTAGTGTCCCACAAGATCCCACCTCAGCAGTCATGTCAGTGTCTTCATCCTCATGGACCATGTGCCATGTTTCAACTTACTGATCTTAGCAGCCTTTTAGGAGTTGCACAAATTGTCCTTCTTGAAAAAAAATCCTAATAATTCCATTCGGATTCAAATTATGGGATCTTTGAAATCCTTATATTTTAACTATTAATCATGTATTATACGATCAGAAATTATTTGATTTTTTAAATTTAAAATTAAATATAAATAGTACATGAGGAAAATTGATCGCACGATGTACAATGAACGACTAAGATGTAGGACTCCCTAAGATCCCTATAAATTTGATTCGAAAAGGATTCTCTTCCCCGAATCACATCCTTGTGGATATCAGTTTAAATCCAATGGTTCATTTGAATTTAATTCACAAGGTTTACATTGAGAGATTCTTTTATGCAACTAAATTTTAGTCACGGTAATGTTACTATCAAATAATGTCACATGTTAAAAAAGTAAATTATTTGTAAAATGGATGCTTGTCCCATGGTAAATTAAGTACATAAAAGAATCTGTCGTGCGTGCCACGATACAAGGTGCAAAGGGTAGAAAGGTTACCTTAAGCCATCTAAAGCTCGTTTGACTCTTCAGCAAGGTTTGGAATGACCCTTTTGGCACTTAAAGTGATGCACACATTTGGTCGAAGTTGAAGTGAATCGGATGGAAACTTTGATTTGGACTGAGATTGGCAGCGAGCTTAACCACAAGGGTACATAAACCGACACCACATACGACTTTGTGCAATTTAGCCTTTTGATTTAAATTTTATTAGAGCCGCCCCAAGTAATCTAATAAAACCAGCAGGATTCTCTCCAGATCCTTTTGGTGAGGATTTTGAGAATCAGTGAATCGTGTTCGTTCATTATACATTGTGTGATCAGTTTTTGTCGAATACTGTTTGTGCTTAGTTTTAAATAAAAATATTTAAAATAATTTTTAACCATACAATGTACGATGAATGGACACGATTAACAGATTTTCATGATCCTCACAAAGAGGATCCGGCAAAGATCGGATATTCCTAATAAAAGTGCAATCTTGCAGAAGTGCTCTGAGTTAGGTGGAAAGACTTGGAATTTGGATTCAACCAACTAAATAAAGGGTTAATAATTAATTCAGCCAAATCAATCTTACTCAATGCGGTGAATTATCAGAGTTTACAAACGTGACAAAAATGTGAAGATATCGAAAGAAAAAAATTTTGATTCACATACCTCTCAAGTCTCCTAAATTTCTCTAACGCTTCACCATAAGTTTTTGGCCACTAAAAACTATATGGTTCACCAACCTCATCAAATTCAACTGACCAGCTATTAGTCTAGTGATACTTCTCGATTCGATGTTGGAAGAGGTCCAAAGTTCGAATTCCCGCTTCCCAAGTCTAATTCAATCCATTTGGCCAAGGGTTCAAATAAGTGTATAAGGCAACAAAACATCAAATGAGAAAACTAAAACAACAGTTGCACAAGTTACAGGCATACCAATTAAGTCGCGGCGGATTTCTGTTTCTTCTTCAGTATTCCCCCTTAAAATCTCTCTTCTTCTTCGTCTGCTTTGTCTTCCCGGTCCTCCTTCTAACTTTCACCTCAGCCTTTGCATTGGTGCATTCTATAAGTCGGAGTTTTTCCTCATTCCTTGCTGGCTTGAAAACCTCAGTGATCGAAGGGTCCAACAAATCGCTCGAGCAGCTAAGAGTAATACGGCTTCATCCCAAAGCTCTCTACCCTTTTCAAGGTCCCCTCCCCTACAAAACTTGGGAATCAACGCATCATAAACCGGACAATATACGCCCAAAGCAATATATTGTAACTAATGGAATTTGGAAAAATGCTATAAGACCTCATCTCAATCATAACATTTAGCGCTTCGGGAACAAGTCCAGACGAATTGCGCTTAAAGTTCTCACGCAAAGGCCTCCGAAGGAATGTGTTGTAGCAAAACAAGTCTGGCATAATCCCGATCGACTTCATTTCTTTGATGATTCTTCTTGCTTCCTTCACATTCTCCTGCACAGACCATCCATGCAAAAGACTTTTATAAATGCAAGGCTATATACCGGCAATCTTATCCCTGTGGTTCAAAACAACCCCTTCTGCACTTTTAACGTGCCCTCAAGCGCAAAGCGCATTGACACTGGCAGTGACTGTAACACCGTCTCGAGATCACTTGTACTTGTCCAAGTTCTTAAACATACCCAATTCCTCATCTTCCTTCCCCAACTTCACCAATGCCTCAGCAACAAGACCAAAAGTTTAAGCTGCCATTGCGCAGCCGGCCTTCACAATATCAGAGAGTAAAATGTTCGCTGCCGTGTGGTCCTCAAACCCGAATGCCAAAATTGTAGTCCTTCTCTTACAAACCATAACCCAAATTCTTATGACACCAGGAAAAAAACCTTAGCATTCTTCTAGTGGGTGCTTCGTTTTTGCAAGAATCGATTACTTGGGTCACAAGTGATGATGTTAAGGAAGCAGTAAGTTTATTTAGGCTCGATTCCAAATCATCCAGACCGCCAATTGCACTCGAAACAATGCTACACAGGAAACTCTGTCGAGGAGTAAAAACACGAAAAAGCGTTGAGATTCCGACCACTGACTGCATTCTGCAGCAAAAGCCGCTGCCATTTCGATATCAATACAGGAAATCCGTCCAACACTTGGAGTGCATTATAAAAAGCTCAGCCCCAACATCGCCCGTTAGCTGACACCAAACTTACTCTCTACACCCATATTATTTTTAACTAAAATAATAATATCTCTTTAAACTCAAGTTTACTACCTAATCTACCCTCACAAACTCAATTCAACATGTAAATTTTTCTTTACATCCATTTAGAAAATAAAATTCCAATTGAATCATTTTTATTAAAGAACTAATATCTCTTTAATCCCAAATTGCATAAGCATAAATTCGTACGGCCTGCTTTCATTAAGGTATTTACGTCGTAATTGTTGTAGTACAACATTATTATGTGTAGAAATTAATATAAATTCTTACGATGATGTGCCCCATTGCTGGAGCTGCAGCGTACATCACTACGGCTCCCATGGCTATTGTTGCTAGCTAATTTGTTTGTATTTTAGTGTCTCTTTGCTGTGGTACCTGCTGCCTCCTAATGAACCAATTTTCAATTATTCCATGATCTAAGGTAAGTGTTAGCAAACAACATGCTCATTTACCTTCTTAAGTGGTAGCAAACCCTTATTACTTTAGGTTAGCCCTAGATTTTCAACCTTGCTAATGGAGTGGATTCGAGGAAACCAAATGGCTTCGCCACCATTTACAACTCATCTTTTCAACTTTCAGCGTTGATGGTTGTGAATTGAAACTTAAAAACTCACATTCTCAACTCCAAAAAAATTGAAATCAAACGAAAAAAATTGCATAAATCAATTCATACCTTAGTTTGAGGATTTAAAACTTCAAAATCACTATCCATTGATAAATAAAATAAATAAATAAAAAAGTTTGTTTTCTCTATATGAGCTCTTAGGGTTTTAGCCGGAATGAACGTAGGATAAACATTGTGTGAAACTAGGGTTTAATTATTGCATGTGAGTTTATTGATAAATTTTAGTTTTATTGTTAATCTTATCGTGTACTTGATGGTAATTATGCAATAGGATAAGAAAGACAATTCACATTTAAAGTTTAAGTTGGGTGTAGAAAGAGATTATATGAGTTCAAATAAAAATTTTCAACAAAATAATATGGGGGATTTTAGAGATAAGGGTTTGTCAAAAATGATTTTTAGAATATAACTCGGAAGGTTTTCAATATCAAAAAAAGATCATTCATTTTAATGCACCATGATGTCACTTATAATAAAACCACAAGTTTTACTACTATTTACAAGAATGCCATCATTTTTGTCTACAATTATTTACAAGAATGCACTAATTTATGTCCGATAGTTTCGGTACGGTCAATTAGGTACATTATATAGTTTAGGTTCGATAGATATGGTAAGATCAATTTGTTACGATTTGTATTTTTTATGTTTTAGTTCACTAGGTCTGATAAATTAGGTACATTATATATTTTAGGCCCGATCAATTTGATACGGTCAATTAGGTTGTGATTTCACATTCCATTTTCTCTACATACAAAATTGTTCTTTTCACTTATCTTAGGATTCATTTTTAATTTATTGAATCCAAAACTATAAAAACAAAAACGAATGCATAGAGAATATAGGTGCACTATATTGTTCTACATACAAAATTGTTCATTTAGATACTGTCAAATAGGTCCTATTTATTCGGTACGGTCGGCTAGGTACTATATAGTGTAGGTCCGATCAATTCGGTACGGTCAATTAGATTGTGATTTCACATTCCATTTTCTCTATGTGTATTGTTTTTTTCATTTTTCTTTGAATTCACTGTCAATTTGGCATCCAAAAGTCCCTTTTTCCTTCTTTCTTCCGAATACAACATGATTTTTTGTTTTTGAGTTTTTTGGGGTTTTTAATTGGAATAACACATGGAGGTTTATGGTAATGTTATTGTTATTGCGATCATGTTAATTATGGATCTAGTTACTTAAGCATTCTTGGAAAGTTAATTATATATTTGTTTCTCTAATTGATTTTAAGTGAGAAATAAGGGTAAATAGGGAAACCAAAAATTCCATAAATTTATAAATAAAAAAATCATTAAATGTGATATGAAATATTATAATCTGACATGGTGGACTGTTTTTAGTTTTTAATTTTACATACCGTATTATTGAAAAAGTAATCTTCCTTAGGGATTAAAATGAAATTTTATTATTGTATATCCATGTATGTAACGACACGTCAATACCCGTCCCTTGTACGTAATCCAACGCAACAACCAAGGGCATGATGGGAACATTCGCAAACTCCCAGCCATGCAAAAGCTCAAATTCGATCAGTTTGTCTTAAATTGAAAACTGGTTCAATTTTCAGAGCTTGATTAACAGAAAGTTGATAAATTTAGGCACTAATCGGATCCAGGAGAATTGGGTAGGCGGTGGAATCGAGATCGAGAAGGATGAGTGAGGTGTTTGAGGGGTACGAGCGCCAATACTGCGAGCTCTCAGCTAATCTCTCAAGCAAGTGCACGGCTGCCACCGCCGTGGATGGAGGAGGTGGTAAAATCTCTGAATAATGAAATGCAATTATTTTTTTTATTTTTATTTTATTTTATATAATTCTCCTTTTCTTTTGTTTTTAGAGGAGTATTGATAGTTGTGTACAATGCATGATAACTAGATTTTCAAACGTGAATTATGTCAGTTAATTAGAGCAGTAATTTTAAACTTGTTTTACCATGTCAGATACTCGTTCCTGGTAAACAAGAATAGTTGGCTGGAGCAGTATATATCTAAATAAAAGATGCATTTGTTTTTCACTTTTCTTTTGAGTTTGATAAGAATATGATGCATGACACATGCATTCGGGTCCGTCAGCGGTCAACTGCTAATGTCGGGTGCAATAAAAAAAATATTGAATTGTAATTCAAACATAGAGTGTTGGTTGGATTCATCATGCATTTGTTTGTTGTTTTTATTTTTTGGTTCAATTTGAAAATTTGTAACATAAAACGATCAACGATAGACTTTAGAATTACATAAAAGGTGGTGCTTATGAGAGACTTTGGAATGCAGATGGTGCTCATGTGAATTCTTGCTTTGCAGAGAAAAAAAAGCAGATAATTTCAGAGGTAAAAGCTGGATTAGAGGATGCAGATACTTTGGTATGGCACTAACTCCAGTTAAAATCCATGGTTTAGATGTTTCATGTTTGTTGTGTTTACGTAGAAAAACTTTAGTACGGTTGTCTGATTAGGGCAGCTCTCACATCATATGGGACCAACGTAGGCTCTGGTGAAATCCAAACACAGGGTCTTGTGCTTTTTGTGAGAGGTGCTCTACGGATTTCGTGGTCTAGCAACCGTACCCAAGTTTTCTTCTGTTTATGATATTAGATTGATGATTTATGCCATGTTGGAGAACTTATCCAGCTGAGGAAAATGGACCTTGAGGCAAGGAGTTTGCAACCAAGTGTGAAGGCTGCTCTTCTTGCCAAGCTAAGAGAATACAAGGTTGATTTGAACAATTTGAAGAGCCAACTGAAGAGAATCGCATCACCTGTCGTGAATTTCGCAGCTCGGGACAAGCTGTTGGAGCCCGGAATGGCAGATTCCTTGACGGTAATGCATCATCTCTTTACCTTACCTCTTTCAATGCGTGTTAGCTTGTCAAGGGTTCTTGTTCATAGGATGTTTTGGTTATGTGGCAGACATCTAACGATCAACGAGGAAGATTGTTGATGACGACCGACATGTTAAATCAGTCGACGGACAGAATCAAGGAGAGTAGAAGAGCAATGCTGGAAACCGAGGAGCTTGGGGTCTCAATCCTCCAAGATTTGCACCAACAACGCCAGTCACTTCTAAATGCTCACAATACAGTATGTCTGTTATGCCTGTACCTCCTCTTTTTGCTTTGTGTCATTTTCCCTGGAAAGCATATGCTTGTTGCTGACGTGACTAGAGATATAGGACGAGGGGGATATATCCACGGTTACATTAGATAATCTCCGATGAATTAGGCTAACGAGAAAATGAGATTGTCGGGGTGGTAACCCTAATTTCGTTTCTTTGTGTTGCCAGCTCCACGGGGCGGATGAAAGTATCAGCAAGAGCAAGAAGGTGCTGACCGCCATGACGAGGAGTATGAACAGGAACAAATGGATTGTCGGCTCCATCATCGGAGTCTTTGCCGTTGCAATCTTGTTTATCCTTTATCTTAAGATTACGCGCTAGCTAATATTGGTCTGGAATTTCACTCTGATATTGGTGTGTATGTTATTGGATATCGTTTCTGGTTGATTCGGGCAAAGGGCAAACAGAGCTGTCTTTTCGTTATATCTTTGCAAAATTTGGTGTTGGAATGAATGAAAGCAGCCATGGATTCGTTTGAGACGAACAGAGTGGCCGGGGTTGGCCGGAGAAAACAGGGTAGACCGTGTATCAGGGGAGCACAGAGGCCGCCTTTCGGGAAGTCACAAATGTGTCTTCTGTTCTGCAAACTATACTTTTTACGTCAAAGAAGGAAAGAGGCACAATAAATCTTCAAAACTTTCACAAAAATTACCATAAAATTCCATATGCTAATAAGAAGAGAAAACACCGTACTCCTGTTTAAGTCATTGTTTAAATCTAAAACTTCTCGACAGAAAAATTCGGAAGATGAGCTCCATTCCGGTTTGGATTTCGGACATGGATGAATCAAGGATGAAAGGCTCCCGACCTCGAGAGCTCCACACCGAGTGTCTGTTGGGTTATTCTGTAACTCAAGAAGATGGACGGCGGGATACTTTACGATGATCTCATCTTTGATTACTGAAATAGAACCAGTAGCTTGAACCCTTGATCAATGTCCAACCAATACGACGATGCACCCAGTATACTTCAATTGAACCATGCAACAACAATCCCCACTCATCCATATAGGTAACATTAAGGGATGCAGGAACTTCCGTAATGAAAAGGGATTCAACTCTTATGATTCTCCCACGTAACCAAATACAATCACTTCCTATCAAGAAGCACCTTCTTCCAGGGAGGAATCCCTTGGCGCAAGCTCCTCGTCATCCCTTTCATCCTCCTCCTCATCATCTTCAACAGAAGCAGGCTCGCCGTTAAGATCCACATTTACACCATTTAACTTCCCCACAAATTGTCCCCGCACACGAGGTCTCCTTTCGGCAAGTTTCTTTCTATTTACATACCTGATCCTTTTATCAAAACACCGCTCCTTTCTTTTTTGCCTAAATTTAATCAATGCTGCCTCCCTTCTGTCAACCTTATTTAGATTCACTTCAGTGGATGCTGAACTTCCAAATGATGGCCATGGCTGAGCATTCGGCATTTGTTGACCAGGTTGCAAGCATGCACCATAATAGGGGAACGAAGCCATCCCATTTGGGTGTGGAGGGCAGTGTGGAAAATGATTGTATTGTGGCATCATAGCATGATTTTTCATGTCATGCAGATTCTTTTGATAAACTTCGGGTGACGATGACATCATAACTTGATTGACAGCCCCCGACATATAATATTGATAGGCGGCTTGGGTAGGTAGGCCAGAAAAATCATGTTGAGGTTCATTTCTTGGATGTGCAGGCACCAGAGAGGATCTGTCTTCCTCAAAACTCCTCTGATTTTGAAGTTCCATTGATCCAGACGGGGTACTAGACCTCTCCAAAGAAAGAGAATCTGGGATACTGTTACTGCTTGGCAAGTCATCTCCCTGTGAGTTGCTTTCCCACGCCTCTCCATTTCCGTGTACTTGGGGATCATCAACCACTTGGTGAACACATTCTTCATGTTTCTCTTCCATCCTCAAATTTTCAGGGGCAATGTCTTCAATATGTGCAACCACCTGAGGATTGATTTTTAGTTCGCTTGATTTCACATACGTAAAGAAGGCAGATGACTTGCCAACGCCAATCTTCAGTTCGCTCTTCTTTGGGGCAGATAAAAACTTTCCTAAGAATATAATCAGAGAAAATGGAAAAAGTTATTTGTGTAAAAGATGAAAATGTCATACTGAAAAACTATTCTTCTTAAAGATAGGTTTTTGCCTTACTCAAATTAGTGAAGTCGAATGAATGACACAATAGTATTAGCCATACATGATGGTGTTTCAAGTGAACACGTGTTCAAGACACGATACAACAAAATTTCTCAAAGTCACAAGTGGCTCACCAGTTTGCCGGTCACTTATTCCTGGAACATCGGGCCGAAATTCTGATATATTCTCGACTGGAAGCTCCATGACAGGAGTAGACTAAAAAATAAAATTAATTAATTAACGATCATGCTTTAACTCTATATATAATAAATATTAAGTTAATATTATATCCCAACAAAAAAAACTCATCTTCAAAAAGTAAATTATAAATAGTAAACAGTCACCTTATCTTCCTCAGGAGCTGGGGTTCCAGTCTCTGCATTGCCCAATTTATCATCTGTTTCATCCGAGAATAAAGTAGTACTGTTCGTATTAGATCGGCTAGGGTCTGATATCACCAGATCAACATAATTTATAAGGTTCTTCTCTGCTAGCCCAAGCTGCCAAATACATAAAATAAAAATGTTTTAGTTACTAATTTGAGAGGACATAGTAGTATCCTAGTGCACATGCATCAGTTAGGGATGAGGAACTTGAAAAAAAGAGGTATTACATACACGAGAGTACATTCAACTAAAAGAGTACGAACTTTAGCTTTAGAAGTGAGAAGGCTGAGAAGTGAGAAGCCAAGTAATTTGATTGCATGCTTTGTTCTGAACTATCCAAGATAGTAAATCCACCTAAAAGGGTCATATAAAGATACTAACAGCCCAAATGAAACATCAACTCCTACATGACGGTCACTTCTAACCTGCTAGCTTGCTAGGCATCCCTATTGTGTTTATTTCTATCGAGAAAGATTTTGATAAAGCAAGGGGTAATTCGAAGAACAGCTCAGAAACAAAAGCATTAAAGTCGTGCAAACAAACCATGCGCCTTCTTCTCCACATGTGTGTCCACAAGTTCAGAAGCTCATTAGTGCGTAAAGGCTTTACAAGATAGTCAGCTGCTCCAAGCTTCAAGCACTTAACAACAGTAGAGACCTCATCTTGTGCCGACATCACTGACCCAAAAAAAAAAGGATCAGCAGTGAGGTTAATACAATAATTTTCCTTAACATGAAACATTTATCATTGAAAGAAAATGGAAACAATAGGATAAGACATGCTTACTGATTACAGGAATGCGCCTTAACTCTCTATCCCGTGTGATGTACTTCAACATTTTCATGCCTTTGCGCATAGGAAGGTCAACTTCGGCAAGTATGAGATCAATATCAGGCCCCTCTGCATTCAATGCATCAATCACTTGTCGAGGAGACTTCACGGAAATAACTGTAAAGCAATGAAATCGAGAGTCAGAATTGAGCACACAAATCATCTTCAATTGCATTGGTTTTTCTAAACCTTACTGTTCAAAATTCTTATTTCAACCGGTCGCATGTTTAGCATTACTTTTCACAAACATTTACTTATTTGAATATATTCACACCATATTTCACCTAAACTCTAAAGGATTCGTTTGGAAACTCGAGAAAGTTAGAAACGATCAAACATCCGCAACGACAAACAATTCACGTTATCACATACCGTAATTGGGATCAATTCAGTGCACTTTATCTTTGTAGATTGAAAACAAAAAACAGCACAAAGCAACAGAAAATGCGACTCCAACTTGTTTTTTTTTCTCAGATCATCAAAAAGTTAAAAATTTGGCCTTTCTTTCGCAATTCTCACTCCATTTTCTTAGCAACCAAACAAATGATAAGCTCTAACAATTTCCAAACTTCAAATAGGAAGATACGATCAAAGTAATGAACTTTTACAAAAATAAAATACGTTCATACCCTGGTAAGAGCATTTCACAAGAAGCGTGAAAACCTCTTCTGAACTGTACTCGTTGTTATCGCAGAGTAAAATCCTCACCCTGCTCCTGTCGATGAACCCATCAGCACCACCACCGACGCCACAAACGCCGCCGCCGCCACTGCCATCAGCTTCAGACTCTCTGTTCAAATTCAGCTCCATAGCAAAACCCACCAAAAACCCCAGGCAAACTCTCCGATCCTACAAAACCTTCATAAATCCAACCAAAATACTCACCGCTCCATCTCCAGGGCTCCAATCAGAATCCCAAATCAGGGTTTTGCTGGTCTCCAATCCCCAATCCCAAGCGCTGACTCCATTTCTTAGTCAAAACCCCAAACCCCAAACCCGTCCGTACAATCGCAGCTCCGAGCAAGCTTATCGGACGGTTGGGAATTCGAGTTGACCCCGGGAGAGAAGCCGATAGAATTGTTACTTAAAAAGAGTTCCAAGTTCGGCTCACCGGCCACCAGCGGCGCACGATAGCACCAGCCGAGGAGTTGGAAAAAAACAAAAAAGAAAAGTTAGCAGGAAAATAAAAGTGAAATTTTAAATAAATCTCACTAAAATCTGTATAAATATTACGTGTAAGGTTCACTAACGTGCGCGTGGGGGAGTATTAGGCGTAGGATAGAGAGGAGGAGACGTGGAAGGTTGGGGGACAGAAAACAAAAGTGCCAAAAGGTAAGGGAAAATGATCCTCTTCGAATTCCTTTCTTTTATTCTATCAAATCAAAGAATCCAATTTATTAAAATTTGATTCAACAGTTGAAGTTATTATAATTTTTAAAATGGATCCCGATTTACAGTTGTTGAATCAAATTTCTATAGTATGGATTCCTTGATTTAGAGGATAAGGCGAAAATGATACGAAGAGAATCCCTTTCCAAAGGTGAGGGTGTTTCAACCTTTCAGGTTAGAACAGGACTCACATTTTATTTATTTATTTTTATTGAAAATAATAATCTATTTATTTCTTGGATATTATTTTGAGAAATACTCTCTCAAAGTGAGGACTCTCTGTTACTTCAATGCTTAATGTTAATTTTCGTGATAACGTTATAAAACATTTTGTAAAAAAGTATGAGATAGCACAAAGTCTTCTTAGTATTTTTCTATTATTTTTTGGGTTTTGCTAGAGAAGATTATATGTTAAGGAAGAGCGTAAATCTCAAATTTTGATGGTAATAAGTTTTCTCAACTATTGCTATGTTATTGTATGAAAGCCATTAATATGTAATATTTTCCTAGTTAGTTATGAATGAAAGGAAATGGTGGGGAGTACTTCTTGTCATCAGATCTGGCTGAGGCGGCAGCCATAAGACATGGGCTGGAGATGTGTATTTTAAGGGGATTTCATGCTACCATGGAGGTACTGGAGGTGGAGTCTGATTTGAAAGGATTGGTTCAAATGTTAAATAAGGAGATTCAAGCTGATGTGTTGATGGAGGTCTATTTAGTTGATATTTGGGATATGATGCAGTCATTCTAATCGGTGAAGTTTATCTTTACCCCTCGACAATGCAATCGTGTAATCCATACGATGACGACATACATTCTTAAGCATGGAGGGAGCTATGATTGAGATGAATTAGGACCTGAATTTTTGTTTAATGTTCTAGCAGAAGATGCAAATGTTTCTATTCGTATTTGATTATTAATACAATTCTATCCTTTGTCAAAAGAAAAAAAAAAAAACTAAATTAATAATTTGGCACATTATACAACTAATTTTATGCATGAATGGAACCAATCCGAACTGTAATTTTACATTGATTTGCATATTTTCCACCCTTTTTTTTTTTTTTTTCGTGCACTCCTCCTTGTTTTTCTTTTGGATTGAATAAATTAAAAAAAAAATTAAGATTCACGGAAAATTGAGGAGTACATAAGGAGAAAATGGAAGCATGAAAATCACTACCCACTTATCCTAACCACAAAACAGAAGCAACCCCCATAACTAAAGAAGAACATTTAGGTGAGTCATAAGCAAAGTGTGTATTGCGCAGAACGCGATAAGCTAAGTTAGCTAGATCAATGTGCTATACCCTTACACACACAAATTTAAATCTCTATTCCCGTAGTTAGACTAGTTTAATGTGGACCGTCGCTCAAATCATAAAAAACATAAGCAGGATGCCTGCATGTGTATCATGGGAGAGGATGTATCTGCTAGCCTATACTCTTCTTCTCCAAGATTTTTGCTCCACATGCTTACAAAATGATATCACAAGCAGGTGGCTGTCACATCCTTTACCAAATCAAATTTCAAGCACATTAAGCACATGGAATTGTTCAAAACAAGGCAAAATATGATAAATTCAGAAATCGAAATACCATGAGGATTTGTACTGGTTTGGCAAAAGCGTACGTCTAGTTCGGAAACGGCAAGGAAATTCCATTGATATCAAACAGTAATTACAAAAGCCAAGTACACCCAACTCCCTCTTCACCAAATGGGTTTGCTGCTCGAACTTTCTATCTGTCGAACTGCTCTAGGTGCAAATACATGCACTCACCAGCAAGTGCGCTGGAGAAGCCAAAATAAATGCAAGAGGAAGTGTAGTCAATAAGACACACTGACTTAATAGGCAGATGGAAACTCACCCAACAAAGAAAAGCTTTCACAATTAAGCCAACTTCAAGAAGAATCGACGTAAATCTATCGCGCACGTTGAGAGTTGGGGGGACTGGGACCATCTTACTGCACCATGACATGGATGAAGCTGAGCTGCTGTTATTGCCTAACGAAGCACCATTAACTTGTAGTTGTAGATAGCTTTCCTACTTGCCCCTATCGATCAAAATAGCTAAGGCGATATGTAACCGTTGCTTGGATGGAAGCTCAGCAGATGCATGCATGCATTCTCAGTTGCACGATCAGAAATTGATCTCACTAAAACTAGCTCAGTTTCTTCCTATTTCTCGAAGAAAGATAAGGATCGGGACATTCACGCTAAATGCAGGAGATACTTGTTAAAGGCATTGTTGGAGTATCTTCTGTGGTTACATATCTGATGATCAGTACAACCACGCCATCTTTACCCCCCAAAACACCTTCAACACCATCTTCGAAGCTTCCTAATAGTCAATGAACATTCTGATGATCCATGCGTATCATGTTCAACTTACTACTCTGTCAAAAAACAACAGAAGAAGTCTGCATCAACCGTCTTATGGGCTTCTGCCATCCTGAGCAAGATGAAGATAGGGAGAGAGAGAACTAATAATGATCCCATAAAGGAGTAGAAACCAACTCTCTCCATTGAAACAGAATTGTTAATTTTGCCATGGATCTCTCCGTGCAACTTCCTTATGCTCTTTGATATTTTTTATCGGGATAATTTGATCCAAGATTGATGTAAATACATGTTTTGTTTTGTTTTGTTTTTGTTTTTGGGTCGAAGAACCAAGTTCTTGGTACAACGATAATTTCTAAATATGGAATATGAGTTATTGGGGTTGCTTGATTATTCATTTTTATGGAGCCTTGGTAGTTTAGCAGCCATGAACATTTCAGGGGTTTGAGAGATAGAACCATTGAAATTGAAATCTTACAGACGTTTGGTTCTTCTGGGAAGGAGAAAGGTTGAAGGTACGGAGAGAGCATAATATTATATGTTCTCTACTTTGGTTGTATTAGCATTTAGCATTAATAAAAATTAAAAACTTGAAAATGCATTTTGTGTTTTTGATAATTTTGAATTCGAACTAGAGATCTCAAGAACAAAGGTGAATGGTCCTAATCAATCACAAGCCTTTTTCATTAACCTTTTATGAAGGTTCTGTAAATGAGAACAAACACCCCTTTTTAGGTGTGAAACATATATATATAAATAAAACAAATTATTTCTCTTATATTGCGTCATCTTACTCCCTCCATGACGCTTGTTAATAGCTAGCGTCATTGTAGGGTGTCATGGATGGTACTTGATTGCTGAAAAATCAACAGGAGCTTCTGCTGATAGCCAATTACAGATGGCCACATGTCCAATTTGTGATTAAAAAACCAATTACTTGAACACGTGTTTATCTATGATTGGCTAGCAGCAAGAGTTGCTGCTGATTTTTCAGCAACCAAGTTCTATTTGGGTGTCATATGGTTAATTGTTTATTTTATTTTATTTTTTTTATTAAAAAGAGGGTGTGAATTCGAGGCCGAAACACACCACTTGCCATGTGGTTAATTGTTAGTTAATACATTCTGATGTTCATTAATACGATAAACGGATGTGATTGAAGAATTATCATGATCCTCATTCGATGATAAGGAAATTTCAGTGCTGATTACATCTCATGTTTAAGCCAAGATTTTGCCTCAACCATCAAATTTAAACAAGAATGAATAGATTCTAAAAGCACTTTCGAGCCTAAGCCTTTCCTCTATGGAGCATATGCTTATTTTCCGACAACAATTTGGTTCGAAATTCTCACCCGATAACCAAATTTTATTTGCAATATAAATACTCAGCATAATTCTGATTCCGCTGTTTATTTTTTGATACACATAGCTGGCTTTGAATCCTCTGCAAACTCTTCTTCCGTGTCATCTAAGACCAAGATGTTGTTCATCGTTGCTTCAGACGAAACCACCAGACCAATGTTCTTCTGCAGCGCCTCCAGCCCCTGAAAAGATCGAAAGATTTTACCACAATGTTGCCATTTCCATGAGGTTTCAGTTCCAAACAACGGTTCAAATGTTTACATCTTTCTTTGTTCGTGGTCGTTTTTCTTGTTTATTTATCGAAAACTCAAGAGGGATGCCTACCTTAGGTTGCTTCCTCTGCCTCCAAGTGTGCATCCACAAGTTTAGTATTTGATCAATGCACAGTGGCTTCACCAGATAATCAGTGGCCCCAAATTTTAAGAAATTGAAAAGGAAACGGCTTTCATCCTGCGTCGCCAGCACTTCAAAACAAGAAGATTAGCAAAGTGTGATGCACTTTTTACATGGTTTTCCAAGAAAATATTGTTTGTATCCGTAGAACTCCATAATGTGCAGATAGTGCATTACGTAGGATGCTTTCTAAAGCAAACAAAAAAGAGCGTCTGCGAGCACTTGATAATATTAGCAGTCAGATCTCCAGTGGGAACCGGATACCAGATATAGGGGATAATGAGCCATTAGATTAAGTGTCGCTCGGAGTTGCTCACTTTTCTGCTCCCCAAGTGAGCAAAACCGAGTGCAATGGTTTCTATTAAATACAAGAATATGGTGCAGAAAACTGTTATATAGAAGGCTGGCGAAACAAGAAGAAGTAAAGCTTACTGATAACTGGAATGTGTTTGAAATGCAGATCCTGCATTATATACTTGAGCATGCTCATGCTTGCCTCTATAGGAAGGTCAATTGCAGCGAGTATGATATCAATGAATGACCACTCGGCATTCAGCGCATCCAACACTTCCACGGCCGAGGCAACTGATATTACTGTCAAAGGTGTTTGGAACGCAAAAAAAAAAAAAAAAAAAAAAAAAAAAAGATTGGAAACTTGAATTAAAAATGCAGAAGAAAAAAGGACTGATCATATTGATATATACACGCATACATTAGTATTTACGTTTGTGTACGTACCCTGATAACTGCATGTTGTCAGCAATGTGCAAACCTCCTCGCAACTCCCAGCGTCGCGATCACACAGCAAAATTCTTACCCTACTGCGATCCACGGACATGTTCTTGCTCTTAGCTCTACCGCCACCATATTGCCTGCTGCTGTTACCAATATCGATCTGCTTATCTTTCTCCATTGCAATTCAAACCAGCACACAAAAAACACAAAGGCTCAAGAAGTGCATATATCCATGCAATGCATCAATCAGACTCGCTCCCATGCTACAAATACACCAGCTTCCCAACAAAAAGTTTGGTCTACCAAACTTTTGGTCGGGTTTCACGGCCTCCAGTCGGATGTTTTGGAGGATCTCATCGTAAATTCTATACACATATGTCTATATATATGTCTCGGATTTTACCCAACTGCAACATCTCACCTTTTCAGAGTTCTAAATTAAGCTCCTATTTCCTTCCCCATTTTAAGGATTAACCCCCATTGTCTCATGCTTTACAACAGCTAAACTAAGTGCAGCAGAACCATTTCAGACTTAACCACCACATGTTCGGATCTGCAGAGTACCATATTTCTGTTGCACAATCCAAAATCAAGATTCATCTGATCGAAACAATCAAAATGGAATTAAGGGTTACCTACAGTAAACCAGAATTACACCATTTTCGTTGAAGCAGAGCATTGTATTGATCTGTGTCTATCTATATATACAATCATCATGTGGACATAGCTAGAAATTACCAGAGAAGAAGTGAAGAAGTACATGCATCTTACAGAATCAGACATGAAAAACATTGTAGCCACCACATCCTTTACCAAATGACAAAATATCAAGCACAGCACATGCCACCAACGAAAATTCAATCACATGCTCAGCAAAACATGTTTAATTAGGGCCTGCAGGGACAATCTTAATATAACATCTTAACATTGGCTACTCTTGCTCTCTCTTACCTGCCTTCTTGCCTGGTGGACTAGAGACCAGCTCTTATTCCTCTCGCACACGTGCTCTCTCCCACGATGGCTTGGCTTGTCCTCCCGTCTGTCTGCCGCCATCTTCAATCATGCAGAAACTAATCCCTATTGCAGAATAAGTCAAACTAGTTAACACAAATTTTTTCAACTGCTAAAGATTGTTACAGTTCCTTAAACAAGTCAGTTGTTGGGATAAGGTTGTCCTTCCAAAATTGGAAGTGAAAATAACCTACACTCCAAAGCTTCCAGAGTATGTCTGCCCCCGTTTCTGTTTTGCTATCATCCATCACATCCTTTACCGAACTGAAAAATCTCAAGGACAAGATTCTGAATCCTCACAAATATAAACCACATGAGTTTAACATGGCACGGCAGCGCCGGCATGCAGGAGCCATAATTAACTTGGTGATCAAGGAGGAGCTCAAGTCTTATGAATTTTTAAGGTTTGATTAAAAGGAGATTTTTGGCCTCATTAGTATACAAGTTTCCTATTTTCTTGCTCACAATCGCAAATCTCAAAGTGGGTCCCATCTTGGCCACAAGAGACAATGTTGCCAAATTAGTTGCAAACTTATTAAGAGTTTTCTTTTCGAATAGTTTACAGTAATGATTTTCACACCCTCGTTTTCTCTTTCTCGGTGTATCAGTTGTTTGATCTACTTTGATTTATTGAATTCAAAGGCTAGGACAAAAGGAAAGAGCATATGAGAAGAAAAGGGAAGTGCGAAAACCATTTCTGTAATAATAACTTCATACTAATAAGTTAATTTGATCAGAGTGCACAGTCAAAGAACATATATGGTAGCACAGAATTTTAATAAGAAAGAATTAACATTAACAGAGACTGCAATTACATGGCACAACTATCATCCTGAATATGTCAATCTACTTGTCATATTTACAGAGCAACTTCCCCCATCAAATAAATCGGAGATACAAATTCATCCATCAATTGGAATGAAGAATCAATTTCTTTGCCACCAACCGAATGCCTGCACTCTGCTGATAGTCATACGGATCCAAGGAGAAGAATGCATCCATAAAAGTCTGCGGTTTGAAAAGGGTGCTAAGTGCTGAAGCATCAAACTTGGTGAATACAAGCCTCTCCTCGGCACCAGAAGGCTCTTTTTGATATATCTCTGTGGCGTATATTGCAATATCCCCACATACTGCTGTCTGTATGCTGCAAAAACAAATTATACACAAAAAAGTACAACTAATCAGATGAATATTCTTTCTCAGTAGCCAATAGACTGCAGGAATAATGTGTTTCGTGTGTGTGTGTGTGTGTGTGTGAGAAAGAGAGAGAGAGAGAGAGAGACTAAAACTTACTGTAATCTCACTGTAGGATAGTTATTGAAACCCTCTTTTCGGATCACAACAGGCTTCCATTCGGAGCTGCTACCGGAATCCACAGACAACTTTTGTGCAATGCCATCACATGCATCAAGAACTTTGCACAAATTTTGTGATGCGTAACAAACAATATTCAATCGTGGCCGGCCAGCATGATCAAAAAACTTTCCATTGATTCCAAACCGCAATTTCATATGCCTACAGCAAAGCTGCAAACTTACATCTTTGTGTAACAACTTTATCCTCTGACTCCCACGATACAACGGAACAAGGGAAGCACAGATAGAAGGAATAGAGATTTCATCAGGCTGCAAAAAGTCCAAAGTGCCATTGGAACTCCCCGATGCAGCAAAAGGGGAAGAACTCTCAACAGACTCTTTCAAAGGTATTTCTACCATGGCAATGTCTGGCTGAATCAGCTCTTTCATCACTTCATCGTTAAGTGGGCCCATGTCAAAGGGATCTGGTCGAGCGGTGCTAGATTCAATCAGATTAGAGACTTCTTCAGTGTCTTTAGTCCTAAGAGATGTTATTGGATGATTCTCCCCTGTTATTTGATTTGCATGCTCAGTATTCATGTTTATGCGAGACCCCTCAGCAGATGATTTCCCGTCACTACGACTTCTTGTGGTAGCATTTGGAGAAACCCAACTATTCTCTGTGAATATGTCTGGGAGGCTCGACTCCTGTGAGTAGATCAGACTATAGTTAGTTCTATTGATATATTTTGTTGAGTCAAGCAGCTCAACTTGAGTTTCAAAAGGTCTAACTTTTAGGATGTGAGCCAAGTACTGTTTTAGAAAGACTGGTCTTACGTTTTACGCCTCATACATTTCAAATTTGAAAAAACAAAGGGAAAAAATGAAGGAAATACTATTGATTTATATTCTGACATCGTGAACCCCCCGCCCTTCACGTTTGAGCTCCTCACAAGTTACTACCATTAAAAAACCATCATATGAAATTTCATATAAATGCTTTATTATTCAAGAAAGTATGGGTTCACCATCCTTTCAAAAATCATATCATTACCAAGAGTAACACGGTTGCACAATACTTCAGCACTTCAAGATTCATTCGAACGTCATCCAAACTCCTGACAAACCATTACATAAAAGATTAGTTCAAGGAAACAAAATTGGAGGCAAGAGTAATTAGTTTAAACTCGAAGTAGGTTTGCAGAAATACCTGTGTGTCTGCTGTCCAAGCCCGAAATAGGTTGCAAGAGAGGCCATCTGCACGAAATAATGTGTCATGTATGTATCAACGATAACATTCACAAGTAACATACATCAACACCTAGAAACTGCACAAATGCTCCCCCTCCTCAAAACCACATATTTCATTTTGCCCCTTATTTAAAGAACTTATTCGGATCAAAATCTAACCGGTAACATTTACCAACATATGGAGAGAAAATAAATACCTTCATGTTACCAGCTCTCCTTCCGAACCGCTGTGTCAACAATGCCAATGAATCAATGGTACCTTTCGGTTCTGGTGCAGGCCGACCAATGCGTGCGAAAGCCTCCCGAATCCGATAACAATCAAACCTCAGAATGTTGTGACCAGCCCATATACGTTCTATACACAACAACCGCAAAATCAAATTTCACTCATCAAATGCCGTTTCGAAAAATGGATCTCAAATTATCCACCAACAACCACCACAGAAATGAAAATCCAAAGCAACACTCAAAAATTAAAACTGAGTTAGTTTAGTTTCAGCTAATTTTCCTTCTATTTCTCAGCAACCAAACACACAATCATCCATAAAAATCAAACCTTCACGTTAATTATCAATTCATTCGTACAAAACTAAAGATAAAAGTCCAAATTTTTCCCTCAATTTTCTCGGCAGCCAAACACAGAGTTAGAAACTGAGAAAACAAAAATTAAAAGGAAAGGAGCTAACCGTGGAGAATGTCGTAGACCGTATCGGCGACTCGTCGAAGAAGGCTATTTCGAACCGATCCTCGCTCCGACTCGCCATTTTTTTGTATTAAGTGTCCAAATCCCCGCTCCTATATAAAGCAGTTGTACGATGCGGCTTCTGCTTCCTTGGCCAAATGTAAGAAGTGTCCACGCGATAAAGTCTTGTGTCCGATTGAAGTAGACCTGGTAAACGGATGATGTTTGTCGTGTTTGTCTAATATGTTCTGTTGTCTTAACCGGTTTTTAAAACATGTTAGTTAACGAGTTATGCAAGAAATTATTATATCTAATATTTTGATTATACAAAGTATATTTTATTGGGTTCTTTATAGGTAATCCGATAACGAACCAACTCGTTAACAAGTTCTTAATGCATGATAACGATTCGATTTATTAACGAATTTATCTGAAACTATTATTTTCGTGTCGTTTCGTGTCAGGTTAACAGCTTGTCAAGCCTAATTTGAAAGATCACACACATTCAAGAGAATTTTGTGTAGAATATAGGTGATTTCTCTTTGCAGACAAATCAAAATTTAGCACGTGTATAGACGATTATAAATATGCGTCAGATTGCGTACATGCGATTTGTACGTAACAACAAAAGGCTTTGACTTGACTGCATGAACGAGAGGTAGTTTGTACGGAACAACAATAAGCTTTGTGTTGCCTGCACGAATGACAGGAATATGGGAATGTATATTTGGTATAATTCCTTGCCATGGCGTGTGATCAAAGATTCAAACAAAACCCTAATAGCAGCAAACCCACACGGAGCCTTGTCCCCATCTCCCACGTCTACTGTGTGATCAGGTCCAACGAAACTTGAAGACGAAGGCAGATGCAAAATGGTAAATCTATTTAATTTACAGT